TTAAAAACATATTGTTGCATCGTCTTTCCACCAAATAACAGAAAAGTATAGATAGTGGTATCGATAAAGACTCGGATCGATAAGCAGTATCGGTAAAGGTATCAATATCAATAAATATTAACGATCCCCATCCCTAGTCTCCGCCCCCTCCGCAGACACTCTGCTGCACCTCTCCCAAATTGTAGCTGACCACAGACAGGAGGCCGGCTTGTTTTGTTTTTATGACCGCAGTTGCAGAAAACAACTGGTGAAGATGGACCAGCTAGAAGATCGAGGTGCAGGAGAACGCTGGGACCCTTTTTCCACCTTAATCCCCGCTCTTCTTTGCCCTCATGTCCCTCCGTTGTCCGACTAAACTCGCCCCCACTTCCTCTCCGCCTTGGCCGTATCTAGACCAAGAGTAGTAGCGCAGACCACGCTTCAATACTGGGCATAAATCAAAAATGTCTGCATCAAGCTCACTGCGACACACTGCTGCAGGAGTATAACCAGCCCCTAAGCGTGCAGATGCATGCTCACTGACCATGGCATAAATAAAAACACCACAGGTGTATCTTGTCCTTATTAAAGGAAACTGAAGGTCCTGCACTGATTCCAGCCTTTTCATGTTTGTGTTCCTCTTGTCCCAGAAGCAGAGACCGAAGCGGGTGAAAGCCATGTACAACTGCGTAGCCGACAACCCAGACGAGCTGACGTTCTCTGAGGGGGATGTGATCGTGGTGGATGGAGAGGAGGACCAGGAGTGGTGGGTTAGTATCGTTCAAACTGAAGCGGTCCATGTAACTCACACTGACTCCTGTTTGAAACCCTATTATCAGAAAGCTGACCTCGTTCTAGCTGAACAGAACCCAACAGCCCGGTCCTGCTGCTTCCTCTGCGGAGCGGCGGCCAGCTGCAGCTTGTTTTCCTCTGTGCCATCCCTGCACATATGACCGTATTTAGTCAGTCTCCCTTTCTGTCCCTGCATGAAGCCCAGCTCTCCTGAGGTTCCCTACTTTGCCTCTGCTCCCGTCTATCCTCTAATCACCACGTTTATTTCAGACATACTGCAGCGCCTCTCTTCAGACCGGCAGGTTTTTGTAATTAGAAAATAAGGGAATCTGATTTAGCTGGATGTTTCCGTAAAGGCAGACCTTGTTCACTTGATTTGTTGCTTTAAATTGTAAACATTATGGAATCAGAACATGTCCCAGTTTGTTTTTATTTTCAGGTCTAGCCGCTGTTTAAAATGACTTGCATGGACATATTAAGTACTTCCTTCTTTCTCAGCCCAGGTAATATAAAAAAAAGAATCTCCTTTTGAATCCAGTAGTGGAGTGAGTCTGTTGTGATGTAGTCTGTTGAGATTTAATTAGATTTCTGTTCATTAAACTCCTGACATCAGTTCAGGCTGATGGATTATTTCTTGGCATCCAAAGGTTTTCACACCCTTTGAACTTTCCCACATTAGAAACACAATTTCTTTTAAATTTTTGCAGGAAAGGAGTCAAAGACTTTCAGATCCTGACTTGGACCAGGCCACATTGACACATAGGCACTTTGATCTAAACCTGTCCGTGGTTGCTATGGTTACCGGCCTACAGGAGTTTATCCTTCTAGGCTTTTCCATCCTTCTTCGTTCCTCCTTCATCCCCCTGTACAACCGTTTCACCACAGCATGATGCCGCCTCCACCATGTTTAACAGCAGGGGTGGCGTTTATAGGGGGGCGTCTTCTGCTATATGTTGGTGCCAGACGGGCCTCATGATGGCGGTTTGACAAAGATCAGATGGTGAACTGTGGATCTCACCATGAGCCTTTTGGCTGCTCCTCAGATCGACGCTCTCCTCTTCCAGCCTCCCAGCTCAGCTGGAAATCCACCGACGATTATCTTCTCAATCATTGTCATCATGAACAAAGTTCCGCCATCAAAGGAATAATTATCAATCATAATAATAAAATAAAATAAATTATGTTTGAAAGAACAAATAAACAATACTCTAAAGCTAGCTCAGCTTTGAACGAACCTGAACGTCCTCCCTGAGCTGTTTGCTGGGCTTCCATGGTCTTCATGATGCTGGATGTTCTCAAAAATAAGAACCTCTGAGGCAAAAAGTAGAAGAGCTGCAGGTGAAGCCATAATAAATCAAACTACTGATCGACGGATGCTCTTTGTTTTTTATGTTCTTACAGAAATCTAACCTATAGAATCAATTTTCTTAGACAGTATTACTTTTTTTTCTCATTTACATGATAAAAATGACAGAAAGATTTTACACAAGAGTACATTTAACCCTTTAAAGCCCGATCCAAGAATAAAACAAAACAGAAAATAACTTTTTTTTGGTTTGAATTCCTTATTTGAAAAAACAGAAATACATTTTTGATCTTAATAATTTATTACTGCGATAAGTCAAGATAATTTTTTGTGTAGTCTTCTGTCCTCTGTTATCAGGTATATCTGATTGTGTACAATAGGATTTTGAGCAAAGTTTTTACCATTAAATTATGCAAAAGGTGTAAGATGCAAAACATTTCAGAAACCGTATGTATCAAATATGATACATTTGGCATTATAGGGTTAAGGCAACACAAAGATTAAGACTTTACGATGTCATACGTGTGTCTACTATATTACATTTCTGTCAGTAAATCCTCCAGTTATTAAAAACTGTAGCTTTAAACAAATGAAACATTTATGAACCGTTCAGAAAAGTTGAACATTTTTTTAGCAGATGAAGGGAGCAGCAATGCAGCGCCTCAGCTGATCTCGATGCATGGCTGCTGAATGCACTAATGGATCAGCGAACGCATGCAGATATGGATCAATGCAATGACAGATCCATCTATCTCTAAATCAGACACCGACTGATTCGGGTTAGGAGGCTTCTGAAGTTACGCCGGGCTTTATAAACTAAAAAGTTTTTTTTACTTATGTTTAAAAAAAAAAAAAAATCTAAAATCCCTCCATTATTATCATCATCAAAGTCGCGTTTTGCTCCGTTTTTCCTTTGCGAAAAATCTTGAAAGAAAACCTGAAGTTTTCGGTTGTGTTGGACATTTGGTGTGAGTATTTTTGAACGCGTGAACGGAGAAACTTTAAGGCAAACTGATCTGATCTCCTGAAGGTTTAGGCACCTGAACCGGATGGACAACCATCTGTTAAAGGCAGGTAGTCTTTATTAGCTGTTAAATTAGAAGAACTTTAATTGGGAAGAATAAAAGCTAGAAAAAACAGCGATAAAGATGGTTGTAGTTTTAGTAACAGCCGTGATGGGATGGAGTCTTTTTTTATAAGACATTTAATACTTTTGGGTATCAGATCATTTTATTTCCATCCAGTAGGTTTAATCCTTTATTGCGGTTTATTCTGTTGATTTGGGATCAAATCTGAGAAAGATGTGTAAGAATAGAGGATCTTCTGTTGCAGCTGTATGACTTCACACCGAACACATTTGATCAAACACTCAGGTGGAAGAGTCTAAGCTCAGTCCTGATGCTCTGATCTCCTGGTTCCTCTGATTGTCTCAGGCTCAGCTGACAGGTTTTCTCTATCATTTGGGTCTAGAAGCTAAGAAGGCTGATTCGTCCTGATATTTCATGGGGATCCATGCACGCCACTCTACGTCCCATTAACAGCCCCTCAGCATCACAGATCCTCCACCAAACTAGGAGGAAAATAGCTTTTTCCCCTCTCTTGCTTTTTCTGGTTACTAGTATCTAATGGTTGCTATGGAGACTGGGCAACCCCTCATTTAGGACTTTTTCTTTTTCCCCTTCTTTAAAATCGCTGTTTTCACGTAGATGAACTATCCATGGGAGACGGTGGCGTCAGGTGCAGGAGTTCCCTGTGTGAGATCAGAGGGTTGACGGTTTAAGCCCCGGCTTTGACTTTCAGTGTCGTGTTCTTGGGCAAGACACTTCACCTGCATTGGCTACTGATGGTGGTCAGAGGGAGGATGGCAGCGTACGGCAGCCCCGCTTCTGTCAGTGAGCCCCAGGGCAGCTGTGGCTACAGTTAAGCTCACCACCATCAGGGTGAATGGATGAATCAATGCAGTATATTTATAAGTAAAGGCCGCTGACCGTCTGTGTGGTTCTTTTAGCCTAGCGGCCTCCGTGTCACATCTTACTTGTTCCCCAGGGAAACCAAAACTGTGCATAATAAATGATTTAGATGTAAATCATTCCTTAAAATGTTTTTTTTTCTGCCACCAACTATATTTTCAATCTTCCCTGTGTGACATCATGCTGCTGTAAATGGAAAGTTATCTATTTTTATTTATTTCACATCTTTACTAAAACATGCGTACTTTACCGTGTTGGTTTAGTGCTTTTTATGGTTTAGTCCCTATGTTTTAATTTAGTGCTTTTTGGGGGGGGTTAGTCTTTTTTTGTTTTTTGAGTTTAACACGTTTTTCTTTTCTGTTTTGTTTCGTTTTTTTGTCCATTTTTTNTTTTTTGTCTTTTGGTTTGCATTAGTCTACTAATTGTTTTTTGGTTTAGTCCCTTTTCTTTCTCCCCCTCTGACCTCTGCTTTGTCTGTAACGTTCCTTCCGTCTTTCTTCTGCACAGCTGGGCCACATCGAAGGAGATCCGATGAGACGAGGCGCCTTCCCCGTCACATTCGTTCACTTCATCACCGAATGACGAAGCACTGCGGTTCTCTGGAAGGCGTCGTGAGATTCTTCTCGCCATCTTCACTGCAGCAGTGCTGCCTTCCACAGAGGACCCATGGGGGGGGGGTGTTCAGCTCCTAAAACTAAAGAAAACAACGATTTGGCACTAAATCGACTGCTCTTGTCGTAAACCGTGTTCCAACATAATGAAGGTCACATAAACAGTGTTTGTTTCATCTGTTTTAACAAACCTCCAGCTCTAAATGTGAACTTAGAAAATATGCTTACATTCCACGTATGTGCATGAGCTCTGTTCTGTAGATACAGTTTTTGTAGATGTTTAGGGTTCCTCCTGAGTGGAGGAGGTGCTAACGGTGCTAAATGAACCTCAGAGGAGCAGAAGCCTCCATCCCATCGCAGCAGGAGGACCAAACCTTTAATCTGATGTTTGGGATGAATTTATGCTGCTCCTTCTTCTCTAAACACTTTTCCAGAACTCATTGGTTTTAGTTTAGTGTAGGGAGTCTAGTAGACATTGGGCTGGTCGCACTGAAACTTATCAGAACCATCGAACCAGAAAACAGAAAAGCAATAATTAAACCAACTGCTGTGAAGTTGATTATTAGGCTCCTCATCACACCATCTGATCAATATGTTTATTTTCCTTTATACAGAAACAGCAGCATGTCGTTTTAATCTAAACTAGATGTTTTTTTTCCTCAGAGTAAAGGATAAACAAATTGAAGCCATCTTTAAATTAAAAAAACAAACTTTAATCAAATTCCATCTTTAGTTTGGATTTGGCCCATTTCACTTTTCTTTCTAACCAAATTAATTCCAATTTCTTAATTATTATTATTTTTTTTTTGAATAAGGAAAAGTTTTTTTCTTTAATCTTATAACTGAGTTTTAAAGTTTAGAGCAATCAGGCTGAGTCTGCTTTATTTTAGCTTCTGATTGACAGATAATCGACCAAAGGAAGGATTCCTTTAAATAAACAGAACCTCCTGTTAGTCTCATACCAGCAACGTTAGCTAGTCAAAGTGTTTAACGCTCTGCTAAATGTAAGTTAGGGCAGTAATAGGAAAATCATTCTGGTTAAATAACGCTTCTTTTAATCTGTGCTCATGCTGCCCGCTGGTTAAACGGCGCCCTGGGAGGAGAGCCGTACTGCTATCCCCCACTGTTAGCTGGTTTTCGTCGACATTTTTATCACCCTTAGCGACACCATTTTAAATTAACATCGGGCTGTTTGTGTTTTTCACTACTAGAACGGTCCAGTAGCCTTCTCCGAGCCAGCTGAGCAGCAGTAGGCAGCAATAGGTGGGGGAGGGACCAAGCTAAACTACTTCCTGCTTCACACAGATGGTGCTTCTCATTTAAAGGACTTAAAACTGTAGAATTGTGATTGAAAATCTGAGCCGTTTTGAACATTAACCCAGCCCATCATCCATCCACGCCTGTTGCTAGGCAACGCTCCGTCTTCAGGTCTGACTCTCAGTCAAGCTGCTCGTTACGATCTCAGCGAGTTTCTGATGTTTGCATCGGTGCTGAGGCGACATCTGCACAGAATAAGCTGCAAGTGAAAAGAATTTAGAGATTTAGAGAAAATGTGAAGAAAGTTGCAGTAACTGCCGCGTTTGGGAAGCTGAGAGGTAGAAAGATGCTTTTAATAATCCAGCTTAATTAACTTCATTGCAGTTACAGAGAATCTGTGTTTATATTGAGGTGAAATGGGAGCATTTCATGGATTTGTTGAAGACAAGAAGAGAAGCTGCCTCTTGTGTAAAACTCACTGGAAACAGGATGTCGTCGCCTATTTATGTAAATACATATGGAGTTTTTGTTTGTATTTAAAAAGGTCAGAGCACGAAATGTGATTAAAGTGAACTGAGGTGATGAGCAGCTGGAAATGCAGACGCTCATGAACCTGACTCCTGAAGTGTGGAAGGGAAAGAGAAAATACAACTGGAAGAAAAATAAATTATGAGATGATGTCTCTGTGGTTTTTCTCTCACTGTTCGGTTTTCAAAGAACTAACTCACAGGGTAAGAAGTGGATTTTATCAGCTGTATAAGCAGGCAAAAAAGGAAAAACTTTTAAATAATGCAAGGGCTCCCTCTACTGGTGAGTATTCAAACATTCACATTTCACTATCGGAGGGGAAAAGAACAGGAACATTTAAGCACAAAATTCTGAACTGAGCTAAAAGGCTGAGCATTTAACCCCCAATAGATGCCCCCAAAATGCTTTGCTAAAGTATTCACACCCCTAGAAGGCTGGTGCATCACAAATTTGCACATATTTAAAGCTTAAAATATTTATGGCCCTTTTAGACTTCGTCTAAATATGATCTTTGAAAAAATAGAAATACTAACTAATGCTGGTTGGCATTTCCTCCTTTGACTAAAGTATATTTTACTTCAAAGAAAATGACTAAATTGAACAGAAATATATTTTTTGATATTTTTTTTAAGTGGAGAAAAATTTAACAGATATGTATAAAAATTTCAGCAACCCTGTAAAAATTAATTTAGCTTTTATGTTTTTTTCTTTTCTTGATTTATATCTTTTTTCAATGTTTGCAGCTCTAAACAAGTTTTATTAGCTGGTCTGAATATAAAAAAGGCTTTTTGGATTGAAAAAAATGTTGCAGTATCTTGTTAGACCATCGGAAAGTGTTGAGTTACTATATAGTTGAGGCAACGCTTTCTTAAAGACGGTTTAAGACATCAAAAAAAATGTGTCGTGTACCTTTAGTTGGGCTCAGACACCCCTAAACAATGCTGTAGGATTGCTTTTTTGTTTTTGTTTTTTGAGAAATAACCCAGAGTGGAAGTTTTCTATGATTGGATCACAGCATATTTAAGTCTAAGAACGGCCTAGTCATAGTAAGAATCTAAAGTACAGTGCTTAAAATAGAAATTCTAGTCATTTTTCCTTAAAATAAGTGCATTTTTTTCTAGAATTGAGGTGAGTGAGACACTTTGCCAATGAAGACAAGACAATTTACATTTAAAATAAGAAAAAAAAACAATTATATAGTCTTATTTTAAGTGCATCTTATCTAATTCTCTTATTTTAAGAGTAAGAATGCTCATTCCATTGATATCCTCTTAGTTACCAACTCAAATTAAGGGTAAATACACTTATCTTACGACATTTTTTCTTATTTCCAATTTGTTTTTGTAGTGATTAATCAATCAATGGAAATGTAGGGTTGATGCTGACAGACACCCTCCATCCATCTGAGTGAGCTGCAGCTGTTTTTCTAAAGACGAAGGCGTTCTGATGTTCTGCTACAGATGGATTGTTTTGCTTAACTTTTTCTTTTTATTAAATTCTTTTTTTGGTTAACTTTTAATTTTCCGATATTTCTAATTCGTTTGTGTTTAATACCTTTTGTTGTTGGAGGTTTTGTGCTTTTTTTCCCCCATCAGTATAATTTGTTTTTTTTGTTAGGTTATTTTATTGCTCAGTGATTATTTCTATTTTTGGTTTATAGTGCTTTTATCTTTTGGGGTCTATAACTCTTCTCCACCTTGTTAAGTGTTTTTGTTTTGCTTTAGCGTGTTTCCTTAAGCGGCTTCTGCATCATGATTACAGATACTTCAATAATAAGTCAAAACATAGAGCATCACATCAAATGATTTATTGTTTTTCTCACATTTGGAACAGAAGCAAAGAGGATTCCGGTTTATTGTACAACATGAGGTTTGAAACCGTAAACATCAATCAAAACCAGTCAGAATATTTCCACATATAATCACTGCAACAAAACAAAAACTAAAGATTTGGTACCAAAAAGTTTCCCTACATAACGGCTGAATTAAAAACAGAGCAAAGTGACTTCCTGTACCAATACTGTCGTGATCTCAGTAAAACACGTCGTAGTACCGTTTGGTGCCGGCGCCCATTAATGCCTACGTCACCGTTAGTTAAAGACGTACAGATGGGCTGGAGCTTTTTGTACCTTTTAGTAAATTCATTTAAATTAAACAAAAGGGTTCATTCATCTTTTAGAAATGCTACAATCTGCCTGCTTCCAATTCTTTTTGGTGTTTGTTTTGAAATTAAAAGATAAAATAAATACATTTAATGGGAAATAAAAAGAAAAACCTCACAGTAGCTCCGCCTTCGGAGGCGATGCGCTGCCTACTGATTGGTTAGAACACTGATTGGTGATGCACCAGGCTGGACGCCGTGGATCTTCCTCTAATGCATCAGAGGGGGAAGGCGAGGCGGCACGGACTCAGGGTTTGTTTGACGACAGGGCGCAGTCGAATGACGCCGACAGGACCTTGCAGATGGACTGGGCCTGCTCCTGTTCAGACAGACGGAGGCGGGTCAGGTGGCTGAACATCAGTCGGTGTGTCTGATTGGTGAACACCTACCGAGCTGCTGCACTGGTACACCCAGATGCTGCACTCCTCTTGTTTGGTGTCGGTGGTTTTCAGAGCCAGCAGGTTCTTCCCCGCCCCCAGGCCGTCGTCGTAACACAGCATGCGTACGATCAGGTAGAGAGGGTGTCGATGCAGGACGTCCTGTCCAGACGGGACAACCAATCAGATTAAAACTCACCTTCAGTCTGCGTCAATGCGTGTAGAAGTGGTCTACTCACACTCTGGTCCACTGAAGCCACTTTGACCCCGTACTTGGACACTCCCAGGACCATCTCCTCGTCTCCAGGAACAAAGGGCAGTTTTCCATCTTGCTGTACAAGAAATGCAGCAAATTTAAAACAAAAGGGATAAAAAATAATCCTTATTATATTGATCTTTACACACATTTTGAATATTTGTTTTGCTTACAGCAAATTATCATTCTTAATTTAGATTTAATTTGATTCCATTAGAGCATTTTTTTTGAGTTTTTTACAGCACTAGTGGCTCATTTTTTCAACAGTAGACTGACAGGGAAGGAGGTTTGAGAGAGGGGGAGAGACATGCGGCAAAGGACCACAGGTCGGATTCGAACCCGGGTCGGACGAGTGGAGGACTGAGGACTGGGTAAATGGGTTGTGTGCGCTAACCGCTGCGCCACCTGCACGCCTCCAGCAGAGCTTTTAATGTTCTGTAAATCATCTCTATTCTGTGTGAGTCTGAGAGCAGCTACAGTTTTATAATTCAAAGGAGACTAAAGTCTGGGGGAACATTAGTTTTTCATCACCTAATGTAAGTTAGTCAATGAAAAACTAAAGTTTGGAAACTTCCCAATTTATTGGTTTGAAACGGAAGGCGGCAAAAAGTTAAAGGTTAGAACAAGCTGTTGGAATTCCTGTTAAACAGGTTGTCTGTTTCTCTTTGGTATCTAAGATGTTTGAGGAAACTAAAGGGTTCAAATCTGACCAGTTTATTTTAGTTTTTCAACAAAAAAAAAA